AACTGCTGGCATTTGAGTCCATACTCCAGGAACGTTTGGGTTTTCCATTGTTATGCAAACGAACAACGAGGGATAATCCTCTGACAAACATTACTGTCTACTGTACACGCTGACAGTTTACAAACAAGCTAATCCTTCAAGTGTCTCTGATAAGACAACTAATAAAACAGTTTTCATGGTGAAACAAAATGGCCGATGTTTGAAAAAAATTGCTGTGTCAGAGTGCGACACTGAGTGGCAGATTTTTCTTTGCCTCGTCTGTCAACGCTTTCTTTCTTTTCTTGGCCATTGCGTTAGAAAAAAATTGTATTAGTAAAATAGAATATTGACTTGGAAAATAAAACGATTTAAAACATACATTAACAGAACGACCCACGCGTTGAAAGCCCTGCCCACATTAACACAAAAAACTATCCACATTAACAGAAAGAACTGCCTACATGCATTGAAAGACCTGCTCACACAAACAGAAAGAACCGCCCACACACATTGAAAGACTTTCCCACATGCATTTAAAGAACTACCCACATTAACAGAAAGAACTGCCCACACACATTGAAAGAACTGCCTACATGCATTGAAAGACCTGCTCACATAAACAGAAAGAACTGCCCACACAAATTGAAAGACTTTCCCACATGCATTGAAAGAACTACCCACATTAACAGAAACAACTGCCCACACACATTGAAAGAACTGCCTACATGCATTGAAAGACCTACTCACATAAACAGAAAGAACTGCCCACATGCATTGAAAGACTGTCCCACATGCATTTAAAGAACTACCCACATTAACAGAAAAAACTGCCCACAGACATTGAAAGATCTGCCTACATGCATTGAAAGACCTGCTCACATAAACAGAAAGAACTACCCACACACACATTGAAAGACTTTCCCACATGCATTGAAAGAACTACCCACATTAACAGAAAGAACTGCCCACACACATTGAAAGAACTGCCCACATGCATTGAAAGACCTGTCTACACACATTGAAAGAACTACCCACATTAACAGAAAGAACTGCCCACATGCATTGAAAGACTTTCCCACATGCATTGAAAGACCTGCTCACATAAACAGAAAGAACCGCGCACACACATTGAAATACTTTCCCACATGCATTGAAAGATCTGTCTACACGCATTGAAAGACTGCTCACATTAACAGAAAGAACTGCCCACACACATTGAAAGAACTGCCTACATGTATTGAAAGACCTGCTCACATAAACAGAAAGAACCGCCCACACACATTGAAAGACTTTCCCACATGCATTTAAAGAACTACCCACATTAACAGAAACAACTGCCCACACACATTGAAAGAACTGCCTACATGCATTGAAAGACCTGCTCACATAAACAGAAAGAACTGCCCACACACATTGAAAGACTTTCCCACATGCATTTAAAGAACTACCCACATTAACAGAAAAAACTGCCCACAGACATTGAAAGATCTGCCTACATGCATTGAAAGACCTGCTCACATAAACAGAAAGAACTACCCACACACATTGAAAGACTTTCCCACATGCATTGAAAGAACTACCCACATTAACAGTAAGAACTGCCCACACGCATTGAAAGACCTGTCTACACACATTGAAAGAACTACCCACATTAACAGAAAGAACTGCCCACATGCATTGAGAAAGACTTTCCCACATGCATTGAAAGACCTGCTCACATAAACAGAAAGAACCATGCACACACATTGAAATACTTTCCCACATGCATTGAAAGATCTGTCTACACACATTGAAAGACTGCTCACATTAACAGAAAGAACTGCCCACACACATTGAAAGAACTGCCTACATGCATTGAAAGACCTGCTCACATTAACAGAAAGAACTGCTCACACACATTGAAAGACTTTCCCACATGCATTTAAAGAACTACCCACATTAACAGAAAGAACTGCCCACATGCATTGAAAGACTTTCCCACATGCATTGAAAGAACTACCCACATTAACAGAAAGAACTGCCCACATGCATTGAAAGACTTTCCCACATGCATTGAAA